TTCCCGCACTGTGTCTCCAGTGCTAACCCCGCAGCGCATGGTTCAGTGAGGGACACTGTGTCCCATGGTAGGGCCAGCCCTACAGTCCTCCCTGCACATTGTCTGCTCTGAGCAAGAACATCGTCCTTGGGGCTTGGTGGGCCAGGATGTGCTCCCCTCCCTCTCCATCCCTTTGTGTTTCTCCATGTGCTCTAATCCAACACGCCCCGCTCCCTAAACTGTAGCCCCAGTGCTGTCCTCTGAAGTGCATTCTTCTGAGGTGGGGTCCACATAGACCCGCAGACCTCTCTATTGGTTCCCTGGTACATGCTGGTATGTTGTATTCACGTCTTGGTGTATCAGCTTGAAGCCTGGTCTCTCTCTTTCCCTCTCCTGTGGAGATATACACAATACCCTCCCCTTGGGTGGATTAGTGCCCTGTACCCCCTCACCCATGTCTTCCCCCTCCCCCTTTTTTTCCTCCTCTTATTTAGTTGGCTGCTGTATGTATCCCTGAATTGGGTTTGGCCCCTGCCATAGTTGCTGGATCTCACTCCAGGGATGTACTGTATGTATATAGTAGCTTTTCCCCTATGCTCCGTTTTTTTTTTTTTTAAGCTTACCTCAGTGGACTCATGTTGTACTTGTCCTTTTGTGCTTGTCTTACTTCACTTAGCAAGATTTCCTCCAGTTCTTCCCATGCGGAAATGTGCTTCATGCGTTCATCACTGCTTTTTAGGGGTGCATGGTACTCCATTGTATGCATGTACCACAGTTTTTTTGATCCATTCGTCTGTTGATCAAAATTTGTGTTGTTCCCAACTCCTTGCAATTGTGGACTGTGCCACGGTGAACATTGGAGCACAGATGTCTGGCCGTGGTTTGTTTCTTGCCTCTTCTGGGTATGTGCCCAGTAGGGGGATTGCTGGGTTGTATGGTCACTCAATCTCCATCTGAAAAACATGAAATTTTAATAATTAAAAAAGGCTATTTAGGTTGATCTTTCTATTTCTCAACATTACATGTTTTTCTACCCAACTATTGAGGAATAAAGAAGATTATGTAGGCTGGTGAAGGAGCCCTGGTGGCCTCGCGGTGCGTTGGGCTAACTTCAAGGTCCCAAGTTTAAAACAAGCAGCCACTCTGCAGGAGAATGATGAGGGTTTCTACTCCTGTGAAGAGTTACAGTCTCATGCGATCCAAGGGTGATAAAGAAACAAATCCAAGTCCGAAGGAGGTAGTGGTATCAGAGCTTCAATTGTGAGCCCTGGATTTGCAGGAGGAACTGAGTGACAGGGGGAACCCACAATCCATGTGCAGGCTCTCTATATGGATTAAGCCTCTGATGAATTCTCTCCGACCGTAGTTGAGGGATATGAAAAGCCTTGTTATCAGACACAGAATATCATGAACACAAGCATCCCAGGTGTAATTAGGTTGATATGATTTTATTTCTCTTGACCCACTTGAAATATGTTCATTTTTAATACTCCCTGCATTTTTCTCAATTGGGGTTTTTCCCTCTGATTTGTTATTACTGTTGGTGTGTGTGTTTTCCAGTATATGGACTGGGATGGGTGAAGCTCCAGAGACAGTAAATGGACCAGGGGCTTATTGAGGGCAGGGGGGTTGGAGGAAAATAGGGAACGAACAATGAATACAGGAGGGAAGAAAATGTTCTGGAACGGATTGTAGAGATGATTGCACAACTCTTTTTTAATATGACCGAACGATGGAAGCATACGCTATGTGAACCATGTTGTCAGTAAACTATATCTATTTTAAAAGGTCAGTTCTTCCCTGTCCTGTAGGGTCGCCATGAGTTGGAACCACTTGATGGCAGCGAGTTTTTTTCCTTTAGGCTGGAAAAAGAGCCCTGAGTGGGCTGTCTGGTAAGCATTGAACTTTTAACTGCAAGGTCAGCATTTCAAACCCACCTGCCACTCTTTGAGGGAAAGATGAGGCTATCTGCGCCATAAAGATTTACAGCCTCTGTAGTGAGCCGTTATAAATCAGGAAGTGCTGTGACTGCCTGAAGAATAAATCTGTCTTGAAAGAAGTTCGGCTCAAATGCCCTTTAGAAGGAAGGGTGGTGAGACTTCCTCTCACATACTTTGGATATATTGCCAGGAGGGACCAGTCCTGAGAATGACTTCTTGCTTGGTAAAGGGCTGTGAAAAACTGAGCAAGGTCCTGAAGGGGATGGATTGCTACAGTGACTGCAACAATGGCCTCGTGCATAATCGTTGTGAGCACGCCCTAGAACTGAGCAGCGTTTCCCTCTGTTGGACATGGCGTGGGTATAAGCTGAAAGCCACTCAGCTGCACGGAACAACGACAGCAACCTGAGTCTGGGCCAACTTACTGGCAATGGGTTTGGGTCTTTTTGGGGAGTTATTTAAGTTGGAAAGAGCCCTGGTAACAATGGTTAAGAGCTTGGCTGCTATTCAAAAGGTCAGAGGTTTGAACCCACCAGTTACTCCATGGGAGAAAGACCTGGTGACCTGCTCTGGGGAAGATTACAGTCTACGAAGCTTGGACAGACAGTTCTGCTCTGTCTTATCGAGTCACTGCGTTGGACTCGACTCAATGTCACACAGCAGCTTCAGGCTTAAGAGCAAGAGGAGGCACAGTGGGAGGTGAAGGTAGATGGACTGGCAGAGGTGAAGCCACATAGTGCCAGGCATGCCATAGTTAGTTATTGCCCTGAGACACAAGACATGAAGCAGAGAGGGACAGAGTGAGTTCAGTGTATTTTGTAAACAGATCCCTCTGGCTGTTCTGTAGGAGTGGCTGGGAAGCAGAGGTGGAGACAATGGCAGAGACCACTTGGGGTTACCGTTATGGTCCTGGTGCTCGGGTAGAGGAAGCTCAGAGCTTTTGGGACCCAGAGGCAGTTGTTAACCTAAGCAGCCATGGCAGGGCTCTTGTTGGTCATGACACTGCAGTTTGGCTTGAAGGAGGAACAGGGATGCTCTAGATCGGTGTTACGCAATGAACCGTGTCCCTCCAAAGCGTGTGTTGTGAACCTTACTCCGCCTGTGCTTGTCATCTCACTTGGGGACAGCGTTTTCTTTGTGGTGCTAAGGAGGCAGCATTGCTGTAGAATGAGTCCTAACGCGGTCTCTTGAGAGCTAGAAGAGCAGATGACAAAAGCATGGGCGGGGAGGATGGCCAAAGATGGGGAAGCCACAAAGATACACGCCACACGAGCCACTCGGAGCCTAGGAATAGAAGCTGAAACGTGACGAGGCCCTTCCCTCAGAGAGGACAGTGAGAACCTGCTCCTAAAGCCGCCTCACCTGTGAGCAAACAAGTTTCTGCTCAGGCCACTCATTTGGGGTATTTCTGTGATGGCCGTTCTGGGTACTTAAGCCAGTTGGGGTGGGGGAGCGCAAAGGGGTTTCAGATTGAGAGCAGTCTCTGTGAAGGTACAGATGCCAGAGAGAAATGATTTGGGACAGATGAAGTTGGAGCAGTCATCAGGGTCGACGAGAGAAAAACCTTGGATGCCAAGCCACGGAGCTTGAACCTCACTCTCTGGGCAGAAGATCACACCGTTCGTAAGGTTCAGACTCACATTTCCAGAGCCTGGGGTCTCTCTGCATCCGCATGGTGGCCTCTTGGCTCAAAAGAAGCAGAGAACTGGCCAAAAGCTCTAGGAAAGGGGCAAAGCGCACATAAAGGAAGGCCCAGTGGCCCTGCCCTTCCTCCTCTTCCTTCCTCCTCTTTGGTGTGAGCTTTGGGCCTGTAATAGATCCAAGGCTGTTAACCCCTCTGCTCTGCTCCCTTCGTGCTAGCTGTCCCTTTCATTCGGCCTTGCCTCGCCTACTCCAACGACCAGCAGTCTCAGTCCCGTACAACTTATTGCTCAGCAACTTTGACTGAGCTGTTTGCTAAAATCTAGATAGGTGGACTAAGCTGGGGGGAGTAGGGGGGGGTGTTGTTAATAACCAATTATTTCCCTCCTCTGAATTGCTCTCCTGAGTCCATCCTCCCTCCCCTATCCACGGTGCTGCAGTACCCAGTTCAACTGTCATTCTCTCCAATTAATCACTCCCTCCACTCTGCTACCTTTGTCCCTAGTACAATTTTCTGTCAGCCGGTGGATGATCATGTTGGGTAGCTGTACCTTTCCATGACTATTCATCCTACCAGATTGTGAGCAAATTGAGGGTACAAATCAAACCCACTGCCACCAACTTGATTCTGACTCAGAGTGACTCCATAGAAGAGAGTAGAAACTGCCCCTTTGGGATGGCACAGGGCCGGGCCACGCTTTTTGTGTGTATCATACCTAATGTCACTATGACTCAGGGCTGACTTGATGGCAATTAACATCAAGATCAGACCTTACTAGTATTTGTGGTTTAAATGCGACGTAGCATTCATATGAGTAACTTTCATAATTGGTGCTGTTAGGTGCTGGATAGTCAATTCCAACGCATGGTGCTCCTATGTGTGCATGGAAGAGCTGCTCTAAAGGGCTGTTAGTAGCAGATCGCCAGACCTGTCTTCCGAGGCACCTCCGAATGAGTTTGAATTACCAACTTTTTAATCATCATCCAGCACTTAACCATTTGCACCACCCAAAGGCTCCAAACTTTAATACACGCATGCATGCACATCCACATCCACATCCACACACACACACACACACACACACACCCATAAACACACATGTAAATATGCACACCTTCCCCTGGAGAGCTGGTTGTTAAACATTTACCAGCACACTACAAATAACCATGCCTTCCAGTCTGTTCTGGAAACCTCGAGGACTTTATAGGAGCCTAGAGGACAGAGGAGACCATTCCCATAGAGTTTCTAAGGCACCAATCTTTACACAAGCCGACTGCTACATCCTTATGCTGTGGGTCGAGTTCAGTCCACTGTGTCAGTCCATCTTACGGAGTGTCTCTCGTTACTCTGGCCCTTCACCAAACATGGTTTCCTTTCCTAGTGAACAGTCTTCCTTCATGATGAAGCCAAAGAAAGCTCGTCCGCAGCCGTGTCCTCACTTCGAAGAAGCGTTTGGATTTCTCTAGGCCTGGTTCGTTGGCTCTTCCGCAGCCCTCCACACCGCCAGTATTCTTTGCCTTCACCAACATCGCAGTTGAATGTACCCGTTCTTTTCCTTTCTTTTTTTTTTACTTCAATCAGT